GAATTTTTTTACTAAGGCTATGATCTAAGAATTAAAACTAGCTACATTTTATTCAATTTTTATCGAAAAAAAATTTATATAAATTTTATTTTGAAAAATAATCGCAAAAATCAAAAAAACAATTTTTTTTATTTTGAAAAAATTGAAAATTACAAAACCAGTCCCAAGTTTGTTTTTTGAAATGTTTCTTTTGAATTGAAATTGTTGCTTTTTTATTTTCGAAATGTTTTCCATTTTTAAAATTGAGGATGTGAAAGACTGTTTACGTTTTGTGAAAATTTCACAAGATTAATAATTTTTTTAAGTTTCTAGAAGCATTTTATTAAATTTGAAGCTTTTTTCAAGGAAAAAAATAAACGATAGCATTTTTTTCATAGGATAAGTTTCCGTTCACATTATGGCCTTTTAAGGCCATTTACTGACACCTCAAAAAGAAATTAAAATCTTAATTTAATATTTAATTTTTTATAGGGCAACTAAATAGATTTTTTTTTACAAACGCCATGGTCTAAAAATTACAAGTAGCTACATTTTATTCAATTTTTATGGAAACATTTTTTGATATAAATTTTCATTTTGAAAAGTAATAGCAAAAATTACAAACAAAACAATTTTTTTTTAATTTGAAAAAATTGAAAATTACAAAACCAATCCCAAGTTTGTTTTTTAAAATATTTCTTTTGAATTGAAATTGTTGCATTTTTATTTTCGAAATGTTTTCTATTTTTAAAATTGAGGATGTGAAAGACTGTTTACGATTTGTGAAAATTTGACAAGATTAATAATTTTTTTCAATATTTCTAGAAACATTTTATTAAATTTGGAACTTCTTAAGGAAAAAATAAACGATAGCAATTTTTTTCATAGGATAAGTTTTCGTTCACATTATGGCTTTTTAAGGCCTTTGCTAACACCTCAGAAACATTTTTTAAATTGGTAATTTTTAATATTTTAAATGGAAATCAAAATTATATAAATTTTCATTTTGAAAAGTAAGCAAAAAAATCAAAAACAAAACAATTTTTTTTCTTATTCTGAAAAAATTGAAAATTACAAAACTAGTCCCAAGTTTGTTTTTTGAAATCTCTCTTTTGAATTGAACTTGTTGCATTTTTATTTTATTTTTGAATATTTTTGATTTGTATTTTTCCATTTCTAAAATTGAGGATGCAAAAACTGTTTGCATTTTACAAGATAAATATATTTTTTTAATGTTTTAATGTTAGGAAAAAAATAAACAAGGATAGCAATTTTTGATAGGCTAAGTTTCCGTTCACATTATGGCCTTTTAAGGCCTTTACTGAGGTGTCAGTAAAAATTTAGAATTATAATTTAATATTTAATTTTTTAAATGGCAGTGATGATGTGAAAAACTGAAACCTAATAGAATTTTTTTACAAAGACCATGATCTAAAAATTATAACTAGCAACATTTTATTCAATTTTTATCGAAAAATCAAAATCAAAACAATTTTTTTTCTTATTTTGAAAAAATTGAAAATTACAAAACTAGTCCCATGTTTGTTTTTTGAAATGTCTCTTTTGAATTGAAATTGTTGCATTTTTATTTTATTCCTGAATATTTTTCCTTCGTATTTTTCGATTTCTAAAATTGAGGATGTAAAAACTGTTTGCATTTTGTGAAAATTTTACAAGATTAATATATTTTTATTATATTTTAATGTTAGGAAAAAAATAAACAAGGATAGCAATTTTTGATAGGCTAAGTTTCCGTTCACATTATGGCCTTTTAAGGCCTTTGCTGACACCTCACGGTTACAAAACCTCACCCTTCAAGCCTCACTTTCATCATCAATCAGAAAACAGGGTAAGGTCACCTCAAGATCACAAATCCGAGTCAATTTTTTTATTTAAATTATAAGTCATCCCAGGAATCGCTCCCACATCCTTCGCCACTTTTAATCTCATGATTCGATAAGTTCTTCCGATTGAGATATGACGTGGATGAGGAATACCAGTGACGTATGCGTCAAATACTCAAGTCGCGATTTCTTCGCAGTGACTTTCACTGGTGTTGGGCAAGAAGTGGCGAAGGTCAGTTGTGCCGCGTATTCCTAGCCGAAGACACACCTTGCCATGTGCTCTTAGAGATCACTACGAATTGTGCTGTGTTGTTGAATTATTTCACTAGAATTGTGCCATTTCGACATTTTTGGTGTAAGTAAGTGCGAATGCGGTCGAGTGATGAGTGGCTTTGCGGGTTTTGGGGCACACTTGTAACACTTAATAAGAAGTCGATCACTATTTTGGGGTTTTCGAAAAAAAAATCATCGCGAGAATTTCCAATTTTTGGGCGAAAATAAATTAAATCGAAATTGTTGGAACAATGTGACAATTAATAATCAATCATGTTGATATGTAGGTCAGCTTAGTGTTATTATAAAACTAAGTTATGTATTTGTTGCCTCATGAATTTCGCTTGTACTAATTGTAAAAATTATTAAATAAAATACACATTTCGATGGTGGTTTAATAATCGAACTAAACTCGTAAATAAGAGAAGTACAAGGTAGAATACCTCATTACAAGCGACCATGGGTTAAATAAAGTTAATTAATCGAGAACAGTGCATAAACATGTGTTGTAGTTTGTCAGGAATGTAGTGCATAGTTGGCTTTGTGTTGGAGCTGGAAAACTGCAAAAAGTGCTTTCCCATAGAAAATTATAAATTAACACAAAACCAATTCGGTAGATTATATGGTAGATAAATTACTGTTAATTTTCCCAATATTTAAATAAAAGTAACCGATTAGAGAATATGTAAAAGCAAGGTTGACCACCTGGAAATTACGCTAATAATGGAAAATTTTATGGAAATTTCAGTTTCTGTCTATTTTTACTTTTTTGCTAATTTTTTCTTTGTGAATTTTTCTCGTAAAATTGTTTCATTACAATAAATTTTTATTTTGAAACCCTTTTTTTTATCCCACACAAGTCGACTAAGAAGCAGTTACGGAGAGTTACTATGGTAACAAAAAGTTTCCAAAATAAACGTCATACAATAGAAAATACAGTTAATCACAATTTTTTGCTCAAAAAGATTTTTTTATACAGGGTGTTAAAAAAGATTGTAAAATATTTAAAGAGCTAATAATAAATTTTGATTTAACTCAGTTTTTTGTCTCTTTTTACTTTTTTGCTAATTTTTTTTGTGGATTTTTATCTAGAAGTCAACAACCCTGTCTCTTTCTCTAGTAAAATTTTTTTGATTACAATAAATTTTTATTTTAAAACCTTTTTTTCTATCCTACACGAAGCAGTTGCTGTAGAAACGCACTGAATTATTTATGTCACTATGGTAACCAAAAGTTTCCAAAATAAACGTCATATTCACAATAGAAAATACAGTTAATCACAATTTTTTGCTCAAAACTATTTTTATACAGGGTGTTAAAAAAATCGTAACATTTGTAGGAGCTAATAGTTTTAATAAACGTGGGTCTTCAAAGTAACCGTTTCGGAATTATCGAATGTGAAAATTTTTACAATTTTACTAGAAGCTTCTTTTTTTTGTTTGAACAGATTGCAACAAATAAATGTTTGAGAAAATACTTTTTTGTTTGTTTTGGTTTATACTATTACCTCCTGAAATATTTTTACAATCTTTTTTTTTGAACACACTGTATTTTCTGCAACATGTCATTTTTTACTTTTGTCTTTCCTTAAAAAGTTAAATAACTCAAAAATTTGATTTGACTTGAGTTTTTCGCGTTTTAATTAGTTTATAAAAACTTAAAATAGTTATTTACGTATCAGGTAAACATTTTAATCTCGAAAACGTAGGTAATTTTTATTTTAAGGATTAACGATGATTCTATATTCCAAAGATGCAAACAAAATTTCTAACAGACTAAATTAATAATAATAATATAAGCAAATGATAGATGTGTCAAACAATTTGCAATTATATAAGAGTTTTTACTTGTATATAATTGCAAATTATTTGACATTATTTGATTGATGATTTTTATCAGTATCAAGGAATCAAAAACACTCAATGTGAAAATTTTTAGAATTTTTGCTAAAACAGATTGCAAATAAATGTTTCAAAAAAGTCTTATTTGTTTGTTTTGGTTTATACTATTACCTTCTGAAATATTTTACAATCTTTTTTGAATAACCTGTATTTTTTGGAACACGTCATTTTTCACTTTTGTCTTCTCTAAAAAGTTAAATAACTCAAAATTTTGATTTGACTTGAATTTTTGGCATTTTAATTAGTTTATAAAGACTTAAGCCCGGTTGCACGAAAGATAACGGATAGTTAACAAAGCTTTAAACATTCATCAAAAATTTTGTTGAAATCAAAACACCGTTAACGGTTGATTAACGTTTCATCAAAAATTTGATGATTATCAACGATAATGGTCCGTTAATGGTCCATCACCACTGTTTTCCGTTGCACAAACAAAAATGTCACTGTTAACTATTCATTAACGACTCATCAGCTTAATGACTGAACCGCGGGCGATTAATCGGTGATTAAATCATATGTCAAATTTTTTCTTGACGTTTTTAGGCGTTTTTAGTGAGTTGTTATTAAATATCTAAAGGATGAGACAGTAATAAGGATTAAAAAGTTGTAGAAAACATTGAACTGACTTTATTATTTGAAAAATGTTGTGGGACACATCCTCATCTTCATCAAGCGAGAGTGATTACGAAGAACCTGAAAGGCCTGTACGGAGAATTCGTTTCATCCGGGACCGTGAAAATCCATTTGAGATGTTGGATGAATATGACTTTAAAAAAAGGTTTCGCTTAAATAAAGCTACTGTTACTTATCTAGTACACACAATTGGAGATAGAGTCGCACCTAAGACGCAGCGGAACAAATCCTTGAGTGCACAAACCCAATTTTTAATTGCCCTCCGATTTTATGCAACGGGTGGCTTTTTGGAACTCGTCGGCGATTGGATGCACGTCCACAAATCCAGCATCTGCAGAATTATCCAAAAAGTCACACGCGAAATTGCTCGACTCTCTCAAGAARATATTAAMATGCCGAGGACCGTTGAGGAGTTGGTAGCAACCAAAAGAAATTTTTTTCAAATTGCTGGTTTTCCTCGTGTTGTGGGTACTGTGGATTGTACCCATGTTGGCATCCAATCGCCTGGTGGTGCAAATGCAGAACTGTACCGAAATCGAAAAGGGTACTTTAGTATTAACGTCCAGGCCGTTTGCGACGCCAATTTGAAATTATTACACATCGTTTCTCGATGGCCGGGATCGGTACACGACAGTACGATTTTTAATAATTCGCCTCTTCCTGTCGACTTTCGAATGGGGAGATATGGTAATGGGTATCTATTMGGTGACGGTGGATATCCTTGCCAACAATACCTCCTCACTCCATTTCGTAATCCAGCTAACGCAAGCCAAGAGGCTTATAATCGAGCTCATATCTCTACTAGGAACTGCATAGAAAGATTTTTTGGAGTTTTGAAACGTCGTTTTCCATCATTGAAATATGGGCTTCGATTAAAAATTAATACTATAGTTGAAGTAATTGTTGCCTGTGGAGTTCTACACAACATCTGCAAACAGCAAGATGATGATATAGAAGAATATTTTGATGAGATTATAGAACATGATGAGGAGGAAAATGTTATTTATCAAGAACATAACATAAATAATGTTAACTTTGCAGTAAGGAATTCTCTGGTCGAAACTATTTTCGCCAGATAAAAAAACACATATTTATTTTTGCATTTTTTTAATTTCTAATTTAACTTTCTGTATTTCATAATTTAATAAAATTTGTTTCTTTTTTTCGGTTTTAATTTTTTCCTGATAATATAGATCTTTATAATTTAATTTTTGTTTTTTTCGGGGTTTCAAAATTTTACGTCTTGGCAGGGTAGGAACAGGTTTAGGACAAGGTTCTGGGTTTGCAGAGCAGGGAAAGTTGGAGGAAGGTTCATAGCGGGCAAGGTCAGTGGAACGTCCAGAGAGTGCAAGTTCGGGAATTGGAGTTTGCGGCTTCTCAAATATTTCGATATCATCTATTAAGACAAAAAAATCACAAATTATTTTTGTTTTATTAATATTTAAGCGTGTATATTACTGAAATATTCAGCCGCACTGTCATAAGCATTATCTAGGGGCTCCACTTGTTCCCGTATTGTGGCCAGGAGTATTTCTTGTTCGGAGGTCATTTCCAAGGTGGAACTGCCTCCGCCAGTCTTCATTATTTCTTTCTTTTAATTAATATTAATTTTTTTATAATTTTTATAAATATAATTTGTTACAAAAAAAAAGACTGTGGTGTAATGTAAATTTGTGTCATGTAATTACCTTGTCGTGAGCAGCGGCCTTCCTCGCTTCGCCCTCCTTTACTCTGGCTTCATATTGCTCTTGCTTAAATATATATTTGTCAAATGTAGCATGTGTTTTTTATAAAATTCTTACGTGTTCCTGAGCCACCCTTTTACGAGTTTCCCGCTTTATATTTTCGTAAAAGATTTTTAATTGCTTGACCGACCTAGTACCTGATTCAGCCAAGCAATTAAATTCTTCTACAATTGCTTCTCACGCAACTGCCTTTTTCTGCACCGCCCACGCCTTGGTGCATTTATCTTCAATAACTTCTTTATATCTAAAGGATGAGACAAGGATTAAGGAGTTGAAATGTCGAAAATATTGAGCTTATTTTAGTGGAAAATGGGAAAAAACTGAGGTAACGAGTACAAAGTGAATAAAATTAATTGGAATAGTAAAATGTTGAAGTCTCTTGGTGTATTCTTGGTGTTGGTTTCTCTAGAACAAATTTGATAAAAACTTACTTCGCTACCACCGAAAGGAATATATTCTTTTCATTGTGGGTATAATTTACCCGTTTCGACGACATCCTGCTTCGAACTTAGAACCAAAACACAAGACACTACCACCAGAACACAAGACACAAAGACAATGACACAAAAATTGTCAAAATGTCAAATTAAAGAAATACGGCGTTGTTGTCATATCGGATGTGTAATTAAACGATCATCATATGATGAATCATTATACCATGTGCAAATTGTTTTGTGCAACGCAATCAAAGTTAACAAACCATCAAATTTTGATGAACCATTATCTAATGATCGATTGATGGGAGTTTTGTGCAACCGGGCATTAAAATAGTTATTTACGTATCACGTAAACATTTTAAGGCCGAAAACGTAGATAATTTTCATTTTAAGGATTAACGATCTATATTCCAAAGACGGAAACAAAACTTTTCTCCTAACAGACTAAATTAATAATAATATAAGAAAATAATAAATGTGTCAAATAATGTCACATTATTTGTATTGTATGCGTTAAAATGCTTAGATCAAAAACACTCAAAAGATTTTATTTATTCAATTTCGGTTTATTTTAATAGTAAAAATTGGTATTTCATTAATTTTATTCCCGAAGGAGTAAAGTACTAGATTATTAGTCAAAAACGAGGGAATAAAGGGTCATTTTCTTCCCTATTGGGGGGAAATATTTTTAAAACTGACACCGAAACCTAATGTAGGTATTTGATTTTGGCTAGAAATTTATTAAAACTGGATTCACTTATCCTAAAGAACTAAGAGCAGTTAATTTATTTATGTATTTTCCACGAATAATTTCCCATATTTTCCACGCATTTCTGAACATTCACTCAATTAACAGCACACTAATTAATTTATTTACCTTTTTTCAATCATAAATATTCACAACGCCAATTATATTGTTATTCAATTCGTGACATTGCATATCCACAACAAATCTTATTTATTTACAATCGATAAAAACTGACTCATCACAAGAAAACGTAATTATAGTTTTCCTTCTAGACAATGCTTCCAATATGGACATTTTTCCTCCTCTTCACCTTAACACTCGCTATGGACAACCTTCGTGTCGCCTATCAATGGAAAGAACTCGACTTTGAGTTCCCCTCGTCCTCCGCACGTGAAGAGGCCATCAAAAGCGGAAAATTCATACCGGAAAATAACCTTCCTCTAGGCCTAGAAGTGCACAAAGATAGGCTTTTCATCACTGTGCCAAGATGGCGCTCGGGGGTGGCGGCCTCGCTCAACTACATCAAACTCTCCGGTAAAAGAAATGATAAAATAGCAGGCCGCGAATTGCGACATTAACTTTGTCCTCTACTGTACATAATTTTAACAATAAATTTAAAATTCTGTTTATTCAATTTCTAAGAGATACGAGGTCGGTTAAATAGGGCAAAGTTGCGCATTTTGATGCTGAATAATAATCTGAAAGAAAATTTGTAATTTTCGTTTTTATTTATTCAAGCGAAAACTAAAAGACCTAGACGTTTTTAACTAAGACGTTCTTAAAACACTTTTTTACAATGAATCTAAATCTATCATCATATTTTCCAAGGCGCTTTTGATATCAGATTTACAACACGCAACTCTGGATTTTCTTATGGACGCCATATTACCTCAGTTTTTTTGTATATTTTTACTTTTTTGCTAATTTTTTCTTTGTGGATTTTTATTTAAAAGTCAACAATCTTGTCTCTTTCTCTCGTAAAATTTTTTGCTTATAATAAATTTTTATTTTAAAACCTTATTTCCATCCCACACGAGTCGACTGAGAAGCAGTTACGGAAAGTTGCTACAGAAATGCACTGAATTATTTATGTAACTATGGTAACAAAAAGTTTACAAAATAAACGTCATAATAACAATAGAAAATTTTGTTCATCACATTTTTTTGCTCAAAAACAATTTTTATACAGGATGTTAAAAAATTGTAACATTTATAGGAGCTAATAGTCTTAATAACAAAGTAACGGTTTCGAAATTATCGAATGTGAAAAATTTACAATTTTACTAGAAGCTTCTCTTTTTTGTTTGAACAGATTGCAAATAAATTTTTCAAAAAAGACTTTTTGTTTGTTTTGGTTTATACTATTACCTCCTGAAATGTTTTTTACAATCTTTTTTGAACACACTGTTTTTTCTGCAACATTCATTTTTTACTTTTGTCTTTTTCTAAAAAGTTAAATAACTCAAAAATTTGATTTGACTTGAATTTTTCGTATTATAAACTCTTAAAATAATTATTATTTTCGTATCACCTAAACATTTTAATCCCAAAAACTAAGGTAATTTTTATTTTAAGGATTAACGATGATTGTATATTCCAATGATGCAAACAAAACTTCTAACAGACTAAATTAATATCTAATAATATAAGGAAATGATAGATGTGTCAAATAATGTCAAATAATTTGCAATTGTAAGAGTTAAAATCAGTATCAAGGGGTTTGTTTAGGTCAAAAACTCTCAATGTGAAAATTTTTAGAATTTCTACTAGAACAGATTGCAAATAAATGTTTCAAAAAAGTCTTATTTGTTTGTTTTGGTTTATACTTTTACCTCCTGAAATATTTTTACAATCTTTTTTGAAAACACTGTATTTCTTGCAACATGTCATTTTTCAGGGGTCTATTTAGGTCAAAAACACTCAATGTAAAAATTTTTAGAATTTCTGCTAGAACAGAAGGTAAGTTTGACGGAAATGTGAATTCCAGGTCTAAATTCAATTGAACTGTCAAAATTTAGTTTGTTAATTAAAATTAGTGGCGTTTTTTCCAAAACACTCTTTGAAAAAACGCTTTTTTAAATTTTGATTAGCATGTAAAATTTAATTATATCGTGTGATACATCGTTGTAATCAGGAACAAAAAGACTTTTTAAAAATTCAGAAATCGAATATGACGTCCATAAGAAAATCCTAAGTTGAGTGTTGAACTCTGATATCAAGAATGCCTTGGAAAATGCGATGGCAGATTTAGATTTCTGTAAAAAAGTGCGTTAAGAACGTTCTAGTTAAAAACGTCTAGGTTTTTTAGTTTTCGCTTGAATAAATAAAAACGAAAATTACAAATTTCCGTTTTTTTACAATAATCCAAAAAGTAATAATGCTACATTAAATTTTGAGATAACTGAGATCCCAATGGTGGAGCTCGAAAAACGAACACCCTGTATTACTACCCTAAAATGGAAAGTAAATCTAATCTAAATCTAACTTAATTAATGTGTTTTTTGCTTCAGACCCCATGGACTCGCCCAAGCTGCGGCCGTACCCCAACTGGGAGGCCCACAAGAGCCACTCGGTTGACCCCCCGGAGATAGTGTCCCCTTTCCGGGTCCGAGCCGACCATTGCGGCCGTTTATGGGTTCTGGATACGGGAATCGAGGATTTCACCCATCCCAAAATCCACAAAAATGTCACTCTCCTCATCTACGACCTTGACAATGACAGTTTACTCAGGAGTTACAAGATTCCTCAAGGACAAGTCAAGAGTGAGAGTTTCCTGGCGAATATTGTCGTGGAGGACCACAATTGTGCGGACACTTACGCATATTTGGGGGATTTGGGGGACCCTCCTGGGATAGTCGTGTACTCGTGGAAGAAGGGGGAGAGTTGGAGAGTGGAGCACAATTATTTCTCCATTGATCCTCTCATGGGGGAGTTTAACGTTTCCGGGATTACGTTTGTGTGGAACGATGGGTTGTTTGGTATGGCGTTGTCGAAGCCCGACCATGATGGGTTTAGTACTCTCTATTTCCACCCCATGAGTAGTACTAACGAGTTCTCGGTTAGTACCAAATACTTAAGGGAGAACGCAGGCAAGGAGCATTTCCACGAGTTCAAATTATTGGGGAGTAGAGGGCCGAAGGGCCAAAGTGGGGTCTCGTTTCTTGACCAGAAAACTGACGTCCTTTTTTACTCCTTGCTAAATTTGAACGCAGTGGCCTGTTGGAGGACCACAAACCCCGCCTACACCATGGAGTCCCAAGGGAGGGTTTACATGAACAATGTTACTATGATTTTCCCCAATGATATTAAAGTTGACAATGATGACAATCTCTGGGTTATGTCAGACCGTCTCCCCATTTTCTTATATGGCCACTTGGACAAAAATGAGGTTAATTATCGGGTGCTTACGGCCCCGGTGGCTGACGCCATCAGAGGGACAGCTTGCGATTCGAAACTGGTAACGAGGATTAAAAATAATGATATTAAAAGTGGGGGGATGGGAGTTGGTGCTGTTGGAGGGATGGTCCTCGTCATGTTTGTTGCCATAATGAATTTGTAATTTTTTACAAATATCCTGTAATTATTGTATAATTGCCGCGAGATTTATTTATTTATTTTAGGCTAGTCTGTAGTGTTTTGTTGTAAGTATTGTACTTATTTGTAAAAATAAAGCAATAGAGTCTTAACAATTTTTTAAATGTTTTATTGTCACGTATTTTGTGTTTTTAGGACCATCACAAGTGTAAAAACGTGATGTGGTCCAAATTTAAAATTTTCAATTTCGAAGAAAATTCAAGTAATTACGTGTAGCATGTTAGCAAAATCAAAAATCTTGATTTTACAATAAAAAAGTTGTCGTGTTTTATGTTTATGCTATCTTATAAAAAAACGATCATTGTTCTGTAATAAACAGGAGTAGAAAATTGTTAGCAAAAACAAAAATAGTCAAGATCTACAGGGTGTTAAAAAAAGATTGTAAAATCTTTCGTTATAGAAAATTATTTTTGAAACATTTATTTGCAATTTTGATTTTATTTCGGGTGGGTTTTTGTTGGTTCATGAAAATGGAATGAAAGAAGGCAGATTAAAAAGCAAAAATATATTGCTCATCTTTAAGCACACTTTAAATTGAAAAAAATACAAATTAACTCACAAAAGTAACAAAAAATAAAATATTTTTTTAATATTTATAAAACTATACAGGATGTTCCGTTTTTATTGGTATAGATTTAAACAGGAGATAGAATATTCAGTTTTAAAACAAAAGTTTTCTATAAACATACAGGGTGCGCCAGAACTCGCGCCCCAGAGAAAATTTCCAAGTAAGGTAAGATACCAGGAACATGAAAAAAATGTTTAAAAAATTCTATCTGTCAAAAAATTTTGACATTTATTTTTTGACATTTGACATTTTTTTATGTCTATTTAATGATACTGATGATCTTGTATATGTTTTTTTTACAATTATTTAGTAAAGGCACAAAAATTTTGCCAATAAAAGCCACAAATAACATTAAACAGAGTTACAATTTAGGATACAACTTCTTTGTTTCCTCTTTTAATAGCCTATAGCAAAAAAACTTGTAAAATTATTTTTCTAACAGAAATAAATAAAGTCAAAAAGCAAACTTTAAACCCTCATAACTTCGAAATTTTTATAGATAAATTTTTTTTAACATTTTTTCCATGTTGCTGATATCTTACCTTATATGACATTTTTCTCCTGTATATCGAAAAATGCTACACAAGAGTGCGTTTTTTAATAGGTTTTTCCAATATTTTCGAAACCATTTTAGAAAAAAAATTCAAAATTTGCTAAAGATGGATAACCTTTATACACCTAAATAGTACAAAGATAAAATGTTGAAATTTTTAATTAGGGGCTTCCTAAACTGGGTGGTTTTAAGGTAAATGTACTCTAACTATTTTGCCTGTGGTTCCTTGTCACTTTCAGCAACAAAATAATAAATTTCATAGTTTTTCGTAAAAAAACGGTCTTTTGCGTTTTTTCGATACAATTTACCAATTTTCAGTAAAATCGGTTTAAAAATTTATGTTACAGCCCATAAACAGCATAAAAATTAAAAATGAAATTTGTTTTACCGTTTTGGACGCCCCTGATTAAAAATTTTGCCATTTGGTATTCGTTTAGGTGTACATATAAAGGTTACCAGGTGTATCAAATTTTGTAATTTTATCTATTCTAAAATACGCACCCTTTTTAGGGGGTCTAACTCCCTTTTATAGCATTTTTCGAAACATGTTTATAGGAAACTTTTGCCTTAAAATTGAAAATTCTATCATCTATTTAAATTTGTATCTAACAATAAAAATGGAACATTCTGTATAATTAACACATGAAAAATTAATTCACAAAAATTTAAAATTAACTCACTAAAATAACAAAAAATTATTTTTTTTTTACCCTTTATAACACTATAATAACAACCCAGTTCCCCCCCTTGGGTACGGCCCTGTTAATTGAGATAAAATTGAAATTTTAATTTGCCATTAATCGATTAAAAAAAAGCGAAGTAAAATTTGATTCAAGACTAAAGTAATTCGAATTACTTTTAATTTGTGGGGAAGCAGCCTCGTTTTCTACAAATTTTGAAACAGAATTTGAGAAATAATAGATTTTATCTAAAACACAATTAATTCCTAGTCATAATTTTAATAAATACTTACTGTTGCACTCAAAAATCACAAACTCACACACTTCACTTTATGATAAACACTAAATAAAAAAATTAAAATGCACTAACCTTACTTCTTCTTCTGCTACCCTTTATAGCAATTTGCCTCTGCTTCTTAAACGGACCTACTGAAAATAAAGAAACACAAAATCAGTTTAATGTGTTAAATAAAATTCAAATCTGATTTTTCTAAAAATTAAAAGGTATTGTTGACTCACCCTTTAATCCGGATACTTGTAGCACGATTGCTTCCTCTATTTCCCCCATTGACACTCACTAATAACTCAAAATTTTAAAAATTACGCACTACCAAATGTCTATTAAACACTCGAAAATACCCAACACGTACGCACTGATAATACAGATTTCATTTCTACACAATTTTGCACTGAACCACAAAATAAGTTCAAGTAATTTCTACGGGAGCTTGGCTAAGACTGACTTGTTATTGTAATAATTTCCAAAAACAGCACAAAAACCTATTTTGTAACAATTCCGGTGTAAAAGGCTTTTGTTCGAGGCTGCGTAATCTTTTTTTACTCTTATATTTTTTGTACACTAGCGAATTTCTCAATGACTATTTATCCCAAAATAATCATCTTTTTTAAAAAAAATAGGAAATTTGATGTGTTTTCCAACGATAACAAACACAAAGGGCTAATTAATTAATAATAGTTTATAGTAGGAGTGGGTCTAATAACCCTCCGACACTTTTCTTTTGTATTTAGTTTTATATGTAGTTTCATGGACTGGCGTTTGGAAAACGTTAAATATTTTTTGTAATAAAAAAAAACAGTTAAGACACAAAACATTTAATATTTGTTGATTTTATCGGCGTATTTTTCCTCATACATGTCGCAATTGGCCACGAATTCCATCACACTTTTTAAGCTCTCGCCTTCTTTTCCGTCTCCCTCAGCCTCCAATTGGGGCAAAGTTTCGGTCTTTTCTTTCCCACTCACTCTGAAGATTAATTTGACAACTTCTTCAATCACATTGACGAAACCAATAACTGAAAGTCCTAAAAGAAATCCAAGAGAGCCTCCAATATCGGCCAGAAATACATTCCAGTCGTAACTAATAACGTCATTTAATTCAGTCACCAAATTCGAGGCAAAATAAATAGCAATGGTGCTTGAAGAGCCTTGAATAACATCAACATCTCGTCTGTGCTCGATTTGGTACTTGTAGAGAGTGTTATTGCAGCGGCCTTGACAATCACACTCTGACAAAGCTTGCGAACTGAAACTTGATTATCTACAACAAAAAAAAATGCACAACAAAATTTACCTAAATTTTTCAGTCATAGCGTTGGTAATATTGTTTATGGAGATGTAGTCGGAACACAGGGGATAGTCCTGGTCCAAATCCCGCAACCAAGGTACTTTACACCCCACTTTCTTGGCCGCGAAATTGTGCACACATTTTTGCTCACACTGAAACCAAAAAACTGAAAAAATCGATATTTTTTTGCCTCACCCTTGATTTGCCATATGTTGGGTCTTTGACACAGGGTTGTTGTGTGGTGGAAACTTGACTGTAGGTCTGCACTGTCAAAGTCACGTGTAAATCTTCCCCAGTTTCAACATACACAAAACCGGTATTTGAGCCATCTTCCTCTTTGATCACTTCAAACTCGTCGTGGATGTGGATCTCAAAACCGGTAGTGGATAACCCGTTTGCATCCTTAGTTTTATCCTTAGCAGAGTGTCTCAAGTACAACCAGAAGCCCCCAGCGATGGCAAAATTCTCGGACATTTCCTTTGGGATCATGGTGTGGCAAAGGCCACGTTTGGTGAAGAAAGTTTTGCGAAATCGGAGATCTACAAATAATTTTGAATTTTTCTGGTAGTGATACACACTCACTTTCGCCCATTCCGGTCTCGTTGTAACCGTAAAGTGGTACCACTTCTTTGAAATCGTATGTGGTAGCATTGAGGAAGTCTTCGAGGGATGTAGTGTTGAAAGGGAAATTTTCGAAAAGGTTATTCGCCGCGAGATCTAAAGTACTAGCCCGAATTCCAAATTTCTAGCAAAACATTTTTGAAAAACTGAAGCAAATTTAGTGTTATTTACCGGAAATAAGTAACTTTTGAAAGAAGGACGTCTACACACCGTGATTGCTGGATATTTGATACTCTGGTTGTAGCGAAATCTATAATGCGAAGTGATTGGCGGTCTAACAATTTTGTTGACACACTCTGAAAGCTAGCAATTTTTCAGAATAAAATTTAGCACTTTTTGAAACTCACTTGGTAGATGGTTATAGAGACACATACCACCAGAAGAATCAATTTGATTAGTTGTCTGGGATCGGTTAAGCAGTCTTTCACGTTGATGAATGCCATTGTGACTGACGGATTTGAAGAGGCTTTGAAAACGTTTTAGGTTTTATCTCTGATTTATTGAACTAATCTAATGTGACTGTAAATTAAGTCTTGGCAGGGTTATATGCTTGATAGTGATAATATATGGTGATAAAATTGATTTTTTGTTGTAATTTTGTCGATTTATGGGTCACATCAAAAAACACCTATATCATTTCAAGATTCAAAAAATCATTAAAATCATATATTTTGATTTACGATCTCGAATATTACAAGAACCTTGATGCAAAATTTCGACTGGGCTTTTACGGTTTGAAGTAGACTTGTACTTTTGTTTTTTTTTTCATGAAAAATTTTAAGAAAAATTAGTTCCAAAAAGCCAAGTTTTTGACTTTTTTTAAGCGCCAGTTCTTGAAACGAAATATAAAACTAAATACAAAAGAAACAGAAGTATCAGAGGGTTCTTAGACCCACTCTTACTATAAACTATTATTAATTAATTAGGCCTTTGTGTTTGTTGTCGTTGGAAAACACATCAAATATTCTATCTTTTAAAAAAAGGTGATTGTTTCGCTAGTGTACAAGAAATATAAGAGTAAAAAAGGATTACGCAGCTCCGAACAAAACCTTTTACACCGGAACTGTTCCAAAATAGGTTTTTGGCCGTTTTTGGAAAATATTACGATAACTAGTCAGTCTTAGCCAAGCTCCCGTACGAATTAATTGAACTGTAATAATTGTCCGAATAAATTACTTATTTCGTGTTTTAGTGCAAAATTGTGTAGAAATAAAGGCTGTATTAATGCGTACGTGTTGGGTATTTTCGAGTGTTTAATTTGGTAGTGCGTGATTTTTAAAATTTTGAGTTATTAGTGAGTGTCAATGGGGGAAATAGAGGAAGCAATCGTGCTACAAGTATACGGATTAAAGGGTAAGTCAACAATATCTTTTAATTTTTTAGAAAAATAACATTTAATTTTTTATTTTGTGTTTATCGCAAAGTGTGAATGTGTGATTTTTGAGTGAAACAGTAAGTATTTAATAAATTATTTTATATAAAATGTATTACTTCTCAAATTCTTTGTCAAAATTTGTAGAAGACGAGCCTGCTGCCAAACAATTTAAAGTATTTATAAAGTAGGCACTTTTTTGCTATGATAGATTTTTATATTTTAGATTCACATACTATGAGATTATTATATTGTGAAATTTTTTGTTTCGCATTTATTCAGTTTCTTAGATAATCAGATTTTTACTTTCTCTTGTGAGAAATAATCTGAGAACCTGTGAATTTAAGAATGTCAAGATCTAAGAGTGTTCTGATTAACAATGAGAAATTATTAGATTACGATTCTAAAATTTATTAATTCTGAGATTCTCGTATCTAAAAATTATAAAATTTGTAATAACGAAAATGATTTTTTTTAATTTTATTGATATTTAATGTTTTTTTAGATAAATTTTTTTAATATTTAAATTTCTATTTGAGATATTTACTTTTAAAATATATAAACAAAGAAACAATTTTGAAAAATTAGAAAAATGGGTCGGGCAATAGTTCTTAGTGACTTCATATATTTCTTTAAATCGTAACTGTAAATAATTTCTTTTGAATAAGTGGGTTTTTATTACAAATTTAATACACACAAAACAAAAAAATAACATTGAAAAATCAAATTCTTTGTATTTTAATAAACCTTTACACAAATCAGTTTTTACGTGATTTTTTGATTCCTAACATTCGCAAATTTTTGAGATTGTCAGTTTCTCAAGTTCTAAAATGTTTACATTATTTCCAAGATTACACACTCTTGACTTTCGTTCATATTCTGAGGATTTTTAAAACAACATCTAATCACATCTTTAAATTTATAAATTTTAGATAACTAATTTTTCAAAATTTCACATTTTTTAATTCTGAGGTTCTTATTATAGTTTCCCAGATTCTCAGATCTACATTTTCAAATTCTCAAATGTTCAAACAAAAAATAAAAGTATTTGTAAAATAGTCACTTTTTTCTCGCTGTGGTAGATTTCTTGATTTATTATTCTATTAGATTATTATTAATAAATTGTCAAATTCTTATATACGAGTATTTAGATTCCTACATAATTTTCTTTTTTCGTGTGAGAACTATTTATCTGGGAACCTGTAAATTAATAAATTTAGAAATCTAAGTTAAGAGTGTTCTGATTAAGAATAAGATATTATTAGATTAAAATTCTGAGACTTTTTTATCCAAAAATTACATGATTTTTGTAGTTTTTATAGTTATATCAAGATACGTGTTTTTGATAATAAAATTTCTAGTTTTATTTACATATTTAATTTTAAAATAGAATAAACAAAAAAAAAACTTTGAACAATTGGGAAATGGGGTGTAGAATACTAAATTTCATATAAAAATTCTTAGTGGTTTTGCACAAATTTTCTTAGATGTTTTTTTTTATTTTCTTTGTTGTCAAATAGTTGTAAGAATCGATCTGACATAAGTGTTTTATGCAAACACTTTGTAGAATTGTGCTTTAGTCGCGATTAATTAAAAAAGAGTGCGAGTTTTATATTGTTTATTTATCGAAATTTCTACAATTTATATCATGTACAGGAAGAATCCAACAACTTATCGTATAATTACGTGGTGAGAAGGTGAAATAAGTGTACTTATTACAATGTTTAATGTGTATATATAACAAAGTCGCTCGTAACATGGAAATATTTGTTTTTCATTTATTTAAATTTATTATTACTATAATACAATGCGATATTGTGATTATTACACTTGACCGGAATTGTAATAAAGACAATATTTTGTTAAATTGAGGATTCGAGTCTAACTGACTCGTGTCTCAAAATTTATAGTTATTTAGTCATACAGTCGCTTATTTAACCCTAGATCTACATTATATTACAGTAAAGAGCAAAGGCCAAAAATCTGAATCAGTAATACAGCGATAAAACCCCTCCTAACCGAAAAAAAGTGGTGTATCACAATGATCGTTAAAAAATTTCTTGGTCCGAATTCGAAACGCAAAGATATGTGATATATAAACCCGCCATAAACTTTGTAAATTCAACATGGACCCTTAATTTACAACAATAACAATGAGGAGAAATCGAGAAATTTAGAATGGTGGACAATAGCCGGGAGTTACATCTAGAATTTTTTCTCCTAACACTTAGTTTTGTGCATACTGATTGGTCCCACCCCCCGAGATATGCCGAGTGTGATATTACGCCCCCTTAATACTACGTATCACGATATGCTACTGTACAAAAGAAACGAAAGCACTTCATTCCTGTAAAGTAAGGTCTTTGGCAGCTTTGAGTGTGGTGTAGCATTGGGTCGAGCCTTGGGCCAAGTTCACTTGACTCGATGAGAACTCCTTGGGCTTGCAGATCATCACGGCCGGATTCGATTCCAAGCCGTTGGGGTTCAGCGACGACGTCACTACACTCATTACACCTAAACAAAATAATTCTCATCAAATTCGAACCAATTTCGACGGAAAAGGCACAAGCACGTGAGAGAAGAAAGTGTGCTAAAAAACGACAAGGCAACAATTCGAATCGCCTGACTTGCAGGCAACCAGCCACACACTTGGCGGCAAATTCGAATCGCTGATTTAGCCAAAACACCAAAAAGTCGTCTCAAGATCAATAAAACACAGCCAAAAAAATAAGAATCTCCTTTATTAACCTCATCATCATTACCATGCATAGATTCGGCTAAACACACGAACAGACGGCCCTAATTACGGGGTAATTAAGGTTATGGTAAGGGAACACGGAATGTCAAAAACATGCCATACTAGAATTAGTCATTCCACAACGAAAACTTTAATAATACCCCATCGGTTATTTATTCCCTATTCATTTCTGTGTTTGATTTGGTACCGTTCAAACGTAAATTGGAATGACGACGTTCATCATCTGAAAAAATAGGCGATTTTCATACAATTGACGTGGAAATTACCGGACGAATACGTTCGAGTAGTGCGGGAGCGTTTTTCGGCAAAAGTGTGCATTTTTGAGTTTCACGGCTAAGCACAGGACCCGATCTTAAAAATTACACCTGATCATAAAACAGCTTTTAACAAGGAATCGACTGGTTTTTGTTTCAAACCTCTACGATTACTACAGATATCACAAATCACTTTTAAAATTTTGACTAAAAAATCACGTTTTTTGGTAGCTTCAATCAATTTTAAAGACATGTCAGAGTTTTGGTGATTGGAAAAACAAGTAATTCTGATACAGAATTTACTAACGAATTGATTAGTGTTTGTTTCAAGTCTCTGCGACCAATAATAACGACGCAAATCACGTTTAAACTATCTTGATTCAAATTCAAAGTTTTCGAAATTTGTGTTAAACGTAATTTGTGGACTTGTGACTGGATTTTTGTTACATTAAAAAAACAATTTGAGTGGATAAAACTAAGTATTTAATAAAATTTTGACTAGTTTTCAAATTATGTCAAAATTTTGTGATTTATGTCTGTTTTTTTTAATGTTGTGGTCACACTGAACAGAAAATATTTAAAGCACTCCCGTATTCTGATAGAAAATGAGTCTGGGAATCGACTGGTGCCCATTCCAAGTTTCCACGACTCGTAATAATGTCTCAAATCACGTTTAAACTTTATCGAATCCAATTCAAGGTCATTTGATTTAATTTAAAACGTGTTTTGTGTCTTTAGTTGTAAGCCTAGGTGATTGATATTGATAATACGGGTTTATAAAGAATGTATAAACTTATTTTTGTTGTATTTTCTTTATTAAATTATGAAAAATGCACAATTTTGTGGAAGCATCTTATTTCTCGCCCAAAGCAGAACGAATTGGGAATAATCCCCTCATAAGCAGCCAAAAAAGATTACGGCCATTTCTCTTTAGATTTCTCTCGAGTATCGTGTCTGTCATCACTCCGATGATAAAAGATTAAACCCTCGACAATAAAAAACGCGAAAAACTGTTATGGCTTTTTCTCAGTTATAAAACGCGTTCAGCACTACCGAAACGTCATATTTACACACAAATTCGAACCTCGTCAAAGGTCGTAACATCTGTCTTCGTCGCGTCGCGCCACCTGCCGCTCATTATCTGAACAATGGATGATTCAACCAATGGATGATTCGACTACGGAATAGCCAAATTCACACTCACCCATTTTGGGACCGGGCCCGCCCATCATGTCCTTTGGATGATTCGATTTGACGGCGTTCATTCGCCGATTCTGCGCCGATGGGGGGACGGGACCGGGGGGCGCAGTGGGGGTTTGCCCCGGAAGTCGAGGACCCCTTGTTGGTTCCACGGGAAGGACGCGTCGCCGCTTCTTCGGCAGTTTCGCGCGGGCCTAAAATATATAAAAATACGGCTAAACGCAGGACGAGATCTTTCAATTAAAGCTGGATCCTGAATCAGGATTTTTCAAGGAATCGACCGGTTTTTGTCCCAAGTCTCTACGGGAATTACAAGCACTTTTAAAGTTTTGCTTTGGAAATTGTGACTTTTGGTGATTCAAATTGATCTCAAGGTGATTCAAAACGTCAAATTTTTGAGGACAAAAGTGATTCTGCTAGGAAATTTACCGCGAAATCGATTGATGTATGTTTCAAGTTTCTACGATGCAACACAACCGAGCAAATCACTTTTAAACTTTATTAAGCAAAATAATTTTTTTCCATATTTGTTTTAAACGTGATTTGCGGCCCTATTTTTGCCCGCAGATTCTTGAAACAAACACCAAAAATTCAGTAGAAAGTAAGCTATAAGAATTAGTCACTTGTTTTACAACGTATAAGTGTAAAATTGAATCAAATCTTTCAAAATCATTATTTTTTTTTGTCTAACTTTAAAAGTGATTTACTCCGGTCTCAGTGGTCGTAGAATTGTGAATCAAAAACTGGTCGATTCAGCATAAAATGCTCCATCGTGGGGGTACCTGAGTGTGGCTATAGTACATGGCGAAGTTGGAGACAATGACCGGAACCGGAAGTGCGATGGTTAAGACGCCAGCGAGGGCGCACAAGGCCCCCACAAACATCCCGATGTATGTCTTTGGCACCATGTCCCCGTACCCCACCGTCGTCATAGTGACTAGTGCCCACCACAGCCCCAGCGGAATGCTCTTGAAGTCGTTGTCGGGATTGGTCTGTATCCTCTCGGCGTAGTAGACCAAACTGGCGAAAATCACTATACCTAACACGAGAAAAAACACCAAAAGGGTGAGTTCTTTGGCGGAGGCGCGGAACGTCTGGATGAGGATTTTCAATCCGGACGAGTGTCGAGTCAGTTTGAACAGTCGCATGATTCGAATTATTGAAAAAAATTCCATTATATCGGCGTTTTCTAAGTGGGCTGCGTACCGCCGGAGGATCAAGTCGATGTAGAACGACGCGGTGGCGATGTAGTCGATTATGTTCACCGATGAATTGATGAATTCGCATTTGTTGGGCGAGGCGATGAAGCGAATCAAGATCTCGAACGTGAACCTGAAACAAAAAGTTTTCAGCCGATTCGATTTTGTTTAAACGTGATTTGTGGCGTTACTATTAGTCGGAAAGACACGCGATCGACACCAATCAACCCACCGGAAAATTTTGAATCAGAATCATGTATCACACTGTAAATTTGGCAAAAAATGAATTAGTTTCGGATCATGATTTTGACTTTGATTGGAGACGAAATATTTTGAGAACATTTGTAGATTCTGGTGTAAAATTGTGGGCTAGATTGTCTGATTTTTATTTAAATTTACTCCAATGACTGGTTTTGTCACAAATCACGTTTAAACTTTTTCTAAAAATTTCTGAATTTTTGGGAAATAGTTTAAAAGTGATTTGTGGCGTTATTATTAATCGTAAACACTTGAGACAAAAACTATGCGATTTGGCAGGAAATTTTCTGTCAAACTGGACAAAACAATTTTTTTACTTAAAAGAAAATAAAGAAAAAAAAAGCGTTTTCTTAAAGTGATTCATTTTTTTCTTGTGAAAATTTAAAAGTGATTTGTGAAGTTAATATTAGACGGAAAAACTCGCGATTTACACCAATCAACCAGTCGGAAAATTTTGAATCAGAGTCATGTATCACACTGTAAATTTGCCAAAAAATGAATTAGTTTTGATCATAATTTTGACTTTGATCAGAGACGAAATATTTTGAGAACAGATGTAGATTCTAGTGTAAAATTGTGCGCTAAATTATCTGGTTTTTATATGAATTTGCTGATGACTGGTTTTGTCACAACTCACGTGTAAACTTTTTCTAAAAATTTCTGAATTTTTGGGAAACAGTTTAAAAGTGATTTGTGGCGTTATTATTAGTCGTAGAGACTTGAGATAAATACTGTGCGATTTGGCAGAAAATTTGCTGTCAAACTGAGCAAAACATTTTTTTTTACTTAAAAGAAAATAAAGAAAAAAAACGTTTTGTTAAAGTGATTCAATTTTTCGTAGAAAAAATTTTAAAAGTGATTTGTGAAGTTACTATTAGTCGGAAAGACTTGTGATCTACACCAATCAACCCGTCGGAAAATTTTGAATCAGAATCATATATCACACTGTGAATTTGGCAAAAAATGAATTAGTTTTAAATAATGATTTTGATTTTGATCAGAGACGAAATATTTTGAGAACATTTGTAGATTCTGGTGGAAAACTGTCCGCTGAATTGTCTGGTTTTTGTTTGAATTTGCTCCGATGACTGGATTTGTCACAAATCACGTTTAAATTTTTTCTAAAAATTTCTGAATTTTTCGGAAACAGTTTAAAAGTGATTTGTGGCGTTATTATTGGTCGTTTTCTAGTGAAAATTTTAAAAGTGATTTGTGACGTTACTATTAGTTGGAAAGATTCGCGATTTACACCAATCAACTCCCGTCGGAAAATTTTGAATCAGAATCATGTGTCACACTGTGAATTTGGCAAAAAATGAATTAGTTTTAAATAATGATTTTGACTTTGATCAGAGACGAAATATTTTCAGAACAGTTGTAGATTCTGGTAGAAAACTGTCCGATGAATTGTCTGGTTTTTGTTTTAACTTGCTTCGATGACTGGTTTTGTCACAAATCACTTTTTATGAAAATTTTTGAATTTTTCGGAAACAGTTTAAAAATGATTTGTAGCATTATTATTGATTGTAGAGACTTGAAACAAAACTGTGCGATTTGGCAGGAAATTTGCTGTCAAACTAGGGAAAACATTTTTTGAATTAAAAGAAAAATAAACGTTTTGTTAAAGTGATTCAATTTTTTCTAGTAAAAACTTTAAAAGTGATTTGTGACGTTACTATCTATCGTAGAGAGTTGAATCAAAAACCGATCGATTCGGTAATTAATTCTCTATCATTGACGTAGGACAAATTTGTTCCAATCTACTAAAAACAAAAGTTTTTTAGATTCAAAATTGCGTAAAAATGCCTATTCATTGGCTTCATTGTGTGCCTAAACAATCGTTTTCTAGTCGGTTCATTCAATTAGTCGGGCTTTGTGTATCTGGAAACAATACAAACCATGCATTGCAGATGCACTCGATGTAGAAAAAAGCGACATGAGCATCAGTGTCTGTTTTATCGATGACGAAATCTGTCCCATTGCTCGCAGTCCGGACGGCTACGGTTTTTATGACGGGCACTTTCATGTCGGGATGAGTCTTCAAACAGAACGAGAGAATGGAAACGCAGATGAAAAATACTGATAGAACACCTATGACCTGTGATAAATCAATCAAAATTACAAAAAACACATTTTTTCTAATACTTTTGCGGCTGTTGAAGAGTAGGGCTCGTCGAAAAGCGACCAAATTTTCGGCTTGATCATTTGCCACCAGGAGAGAGTGCCTTTGAAGTAGTCCTCTTCGAAGCCGAATTTCCGGGCGATTTCCTCGTCGCTCGGCTTGTCGGTGTCCAAGTCGAGGCGGTCGAGGACGGCGAGGGTCTCCTGCGTGTCTCGATGCTAGAAAATTATGTTGATTAGGCGGATTTGGCTCATGTTAATTAAATTTCTTGACTGATTACTTGAGTGTATGTCATCCAACAACATGGCTCGACTTGGTTGGCGTCCAGACCCCAGAATTCCAGCTCTTCCTCGAACAAGGGGCCGCATACGTCTGAAGGGTAGTGGAGTTTGCCAGTTCTGTAAAAATTTCACTTTAAACGTGATTTGCGAGGTTATTAGACGTCCCAGCTACTTGAAACACACACCAGTGGATTCCCCGGGAAATTCTGATTCAGAATCATGTTTCATTTTTACTATTTGAGTCGTCACATAGCCGAGAAATTGAACAAATGACTGATTGTCTCAATTTTTTTTCAATTTGAAAGAAATTCAGTGATTTACAATCCAAAACCAAGCCAAAATCACTTTTAAAATAATTTGGATCACTTTTGAAAAAGTTTAAAAGTAATCAATGGTCTTACCATTGATGGCAGAAACTTCAAACTGACATTAATAGATTTTTCGGAAAATTTGCTTAAAGAAACTTTTATTTTTTCATTGATCTTGTTCTTTATTTACTTCCTAAAATAAAAAACACCAAAACTTTGTATTTTGATTTTAAAAAGATTCAACGTTACTTGTAATTGACTCTATAAAAAATTGTATATGAGAATTCGTTATCATTAAAAAAATTCATCCAAATGGTCATAAAATAAAAAAAATGTTGAAAACAGCAAATTTAGCATTTGTTTTAACTTGTTCTATAAATTGGAATACCATGCAACTGTAATTAGAAATAAAAAATAAAAAACAAAAAAATTAAAAAAAAGAAACAAAAAAAAGACTTTGATTCGAAAAAGTTTAAAAGTTATTTGCTCTGTGGTTATTGATCGTAGAGTCTTGAAACAAAAACCAATCGATTTAGCAAAAAATTTCTCACTAGGGAACTAAGGTTGATTTGAACATTTATCAATTTCTTTTATTGAAATTTTAAAAGTAATTTGCGACGTTATTAGACGTTGGAGCTACTTGAAACACACACCAGTGGATTTCCCGGGAAATTCTGATTCAGAATCAAGTTTCATTTTTACGGTTTGAGTCGTCACATAGCCGCGAAATTGAACAAATGACCGATTGTCTCAATTTTTTTCAACTTGAAAGATTCTTATTGATAGAGTTGTGAAACTCACTGATTTACAATTAAAAATCAAGTCAAAAATTATTTAAAAATAATTTGGCTCACTTTTAAAGAAGTTTAAAAGTAATCAGTGGTCTTACTATTGTTGGCAGAAACTTCAAACTGACATATAACATTTTTAAGAAAATTTACTTAAATAAACAAATATTATTTTATTGATCTTTTTCTTTATTTACGTTCTAAATTAAAAAAAACACCAAAACTTTGTATTTTTATTTTAAAAAGATTCAACGTTACTTGTAATTGACTCTATAAAAAATTGTATGTGAGAATCCGTTAGTATTCCAAAAAACCATCAAAATGGTCATAAAATAAAAAACATTGTTGAAAACAGCAAATTTAGCATTTGTTTTAACTTGTTCTATAAATTGGGACACCTTGCAACTGTAATTAGAGTCACAAATCACTTTTAAAGATAAACAAAAAAACTGAGTTTGATTCGAAAAAGTTTAAAAGTGATTTGTTTTGTTGTTATTGATCGTATAGTCTTGAAACAAAAACCAATAGATTCAGAAAAAATTTCTCACTAGGTTTGGCAATTATCGTCGAAGTATTTGTTTTAACCAAAACAGAACTAAGGTTAATTTGTACATTTTTCAATTACTTTTATTGGAATTTTAAAAGTGATTTGCGACGTTATTAGACGTTGGAGCTACTTGAAACACACACCAGTGAATTCCCCGGAAAATTCTGATTCAGAATCATGTTTCATTTTTACGATTTGAGTCGTCACATAGACGCGAAAGTGAACAAATGACCGATTTTCTCAAGATTTTTATTGTTAGTGTTGTGAAACTCTCTGTTTTAGAGTTAAAAATCAAGTCAAAAATCATTTAAAAATAATTTGGATCACTTTTGAAGAAGTTTAAAAGTAATCAGTGGTCTTACTATTAATGGCAGAAACTTCAAACTGACATTTAACATTAAAAAATAAAATTGCTTAAATAAACATTTATTATTTTATTGATCTTGTTCTTTATTTACGTCCTAAATAAAAAAAAAACACCAAAACTTTGTATTTTTATTTTAAAAAGATTCCACGTTACTTGTAATTGACTCTATAAAAAATTGTATATGAGAATCCGTTATCATTCAAAAAACCCATCCAAATGGTCATAAAACAAAAAACATTGTTGATTTGAACGTTTCTCACTTTCTTTTGAGGCGTTTCTCTTGATCGTAGAGACTTGAAACAAAAACTGATCGATTGTGCTGAAAATTTTGAATCAGGATCGCTAATCTGTTTCAGATATGACTTTAAAATTGATGATTCGAAAGTTTTGAGTCGTTTTTAAACAGTGTTAATTCTTCCTTAAATCGAGTTTATGGTCAATTTAGATCTAATCCGGAGATGAAGTCGGATCGTGACATGTAAATTATCTGCGAGTCGTCTTGGATGCTCTTTGAACGCCTCCAAGTCTAAATGTAGTTAAAATTAAGTGTGGAGATAATTATTCGAACATTACCCATAAGTCTCTTCTCCCTCTCAAATGGATGGTTTACATAAACGTAAAAATTAATTCTTGTCGTTGTGCCTAATTTCATTTTCCCCCTGAACCCGAGATCAGTTTCTTTTACTTTCTTGGATCGTTAAAATTGTGATGAAAAATCCTTCTGACCTGTAATAATTGAGAACCTGCGCGAAAACTCCGGGATGCCGGTCGAAAAAATACTCGTTGAGTATCGGATCGTAGTTGGCCAAGGCTTCAGTCAGCCGTGATAATCTAGTGGCCGGGATTTTCTTTAACGTCGCCTTGTAGGTCTCGTGGCGGATGCCTCCGACGTTGAGGACCACCCGATTTTCGGCATCCATATTGATCAGATTCATGATGGCTGAAAAAAAAGCATTTTTCAGGATTTCTCGACACCTGAAACGGAAAACTTACCGGATTAGTGTCGTGTTACGGCCGCAAATCCATTGTGTCAAGCTCGAGGACGCTGAAACGAGACGAATTTTCAGGAGATGGGGAGTGAAAATGTGCGAGAATCACATCGAGAGGGTTTTTACCAACAACCGCTAATTTCGAACAGTAAACAGGCCCGACTTTCATTAATATTAACGGAGCGATCGCAACGAGACGTTAATATTTTACCGGGACCTAACTGTGTTTGCGCTTTCGGCAAATAATCGAGGAAAACCGTTAAAAAGAATAAAGTTTAAAAGTGATTCGTGATGTTAGTTTCTGTGGTAGAGGTTTGAAACTAACACCAGTCGATTTTGCAGACAATTTTCAATCAGAATCTTTTAAAAAATTGCTTTGAGTTTATCTAGGAAACTCAAAATTAAGTTTTATGAATCATTTTATTTTTGTAAATTTTAAAAGTGATTTGTGTGGTTGTTACCAATCGTAGAAACTTGAAACAAAAACGATTCGATTCCTTGGAAAATTCTGAACCAGAAACAAGTTTTATAACAAAGGTTCTGATTTTGGTTTAATAGGAAAAAAATAAAGAAAATGCAAAAAATAGCATAATTTTCTATTTGTGTTAACATGTTTAAGAGTGATTCATGGCGTTAGAGTAAATCGGTTTGATTTGAAACAAAAACTAATCAATTTATTATAAAATTTTGTGTCGGAAACATACATTAATTTACATATTTTTCGTTTAATATGACCTTGAAATTTAAAAAATTATAAAAACTTGCTGTTTTTTTCCATCTTATTGATTATTTTTGTGTGATACATTTTTATTTGCCGTCCGGGGCTCGTATGAGCCGTTTTTGCAAAGGTCTGCCTATAAAAAACCCGTTTTAAAGCATTGCTTTGAAAAATTGAATAGATCCGTCAACGATAAATGTCTCAATTCTATGGAAATAAGTTTTATAAATTTATCTCATTGTCGCCGAAAAGGGGATTTCTTAAAACAAGTATCTTAAAAGATTTACACCGATTTGAAATTTAAAACACTTCTTTTACATTTTATTATGAGACGGCTAAGCCGTCTTTTCGAATAATTAAATCGTCGTTAGGCAACAAAGCGACTATTTTGCAAGTTTATAACGTCGCTGATTGATACGAGCATTTTTCCTAAGACGCTTTAATTAAATCAAGAAAATGTTTACTGAAACGTCAAAACTGATGACGTTCAATTTATATCAACCGAAACGTTTTCATTAAAATTTCTTTGCTTCGAAATTAATTACACAGCAGAGATTTTTTCGTAATACGATCTGAAAGTGAAATGAAAAATGAAGCTCTTTGTATCTGTGAGATTTCGAGTTAATTTATCTCAAATTAGGGGTCGTAATGTTTGGGAAATAGTTGCAAGCGAGCAATATTTTGTCATTAATTAAGCACAGGACGCTTGGTTCCGACACTGGCAGTTCCAGCATGCACGAGGGATAAATAACAATTAACACAACAGTTGACACCATCCGAATCAAACTTTGAAAGTTTCCAATGCAACAACGTGATTTACTTACTCAAATTATGCTTTTCCAGTTTTTTTGAATAGGATTCGAATTTTTTAAATGTGATTTGTGGCGTTATCATTAATTTTAGAAACTTAAAATAAAAACCAATCGATTCTTTGAAAAATTCTGTCTTAGAATCATGTATCATATCTATTATTCAGCTGCGAAATTAAAAGAAACACAGCAAGATCACTACTGATTCATGACTTTGGAGAATTTAAATTTGCGTTTATCAATTATTTTGACATTTTTGTGTAACAGTTTTGCACATTTCTTTAGTTCAAAGATTTTAAAACCATAAAAGGGTCACAAATCACGTTTAAAAATTGATTCAAAATAGTTTGAACGTGATTTGTGGCGTTATCCTCAATAGTAGAAATTTGAAATAAAAAGTAGTCGATTCCTTGAGAAATTTTAATTTAGAAACATAAATTACATTTTTCGTTTAGGTGTGAAATTCAAAGAAATAAGTGTTTTTCGTGTGCAAAGTTTAAAAGTGATTTGAGACGTTTCTTTTGCGCCTAGAGGGCTGAAACTCGCACTAATCGATTCTTCTGGCTTTTCTGTATCACTTTGTGTACAACCTGTAGCACAAAAGGAATTTATGCATAAGAAAAACAGCAAAGGGCAGATATCGATCGAGGAAGCGAAACGACACGCACCCAAACAAAAGCTTTATTTAACTTTTGAGAAGTTTTTTAAGCCGAGTTCATTTTCGTTGGGTAATACACGTTCTTATCGCCACGTTTGCGGAAAGATAATTTAATTCAAGTCTAAAATAAAATTTTTTGATGTTACAAATCGGTATGGAGTCGCCATGTGGTTAATTATAAATAAATTCTGGCTTTTTTGCTACCTCTGTCGAATAAATCAATTATCACGCACCCTCTGGAATTGCGCCAAAAGCTCGTGTGTGAATGTACTTGTTGATTGGAATACATAATTGATTCAAGAATGGGGTTACAACGCCGAAAAAAGCAAAGTCTTGAATTTTCTATTCATATAACTTCAACTTTTCACATTTACATAGACGAGGGGATGGAAAATAAGCTTTTCAAACGTAAATTTTTCTTGTTGGGGTTTTAATAACTAATTACTTCGTGTTAAAGGTGCAAAGATAGCTAAAGCCGTGAGCTTTATGTTAATCTGAAGCGGTTCTTTGTTTCCGGGACGGAAAAGTTTTAAATTGTAAATGAAACTGCCAAGGATAGAGAGTGTAAAGTTAACTTTACGATTCGGATAAGGGCATTGTAAAGTACTTTTGTTGTGTGGCGTAAATACAGAGACGTATGCTGCGTTAAAATCAATCTCGAGTTTGAAAACGACTTAAACACTTTCCAAAGTAAACTAATAGCTGGCTGTGGTATAGAATTTTACAGGAAATTTATCAGTTTTTGTTTCAAGTTGCTACGACTGATAATAACGCCACAAATCACTTTTTAACAAAGAATTTATAAAAATAGTGTTTTTAAATTCTTACAGCTAAAGAAAGGACACAATCTGTGGAATTTATAAATAGAATTTTCTGAAGAATATGCCACTTTTGGTTTCGAGTGTCTACGACCAATAATAAGGTCACAAATCACATTTAAACTTTTTTTGAAAAATTTTGAATTGGATTTGGAATTGTTTAAAGGTGATTTGTGGCATTATTTTTAGCGGCAGGAACTTGAAAGAAACACCAATCGATTCAGGGGAGGTTTTTTTCTTAGAGCCCTTGATTATTTATTATTTGTTTTGGTTAATAAGACGGAAAAACGGCCTTCTTCGATGAAAAAGCTTGTTTTTGTTGGGTGAAACTTTAAAAGTGATTTACGGCCTTGTTATTGGTCGTGGAAATTCGAAACAAACACCAAACGATTCAGAAACAAATTTAGTTTGTGATTTTAATGTTAAAGCAGCACTATTGAGTTATCTCAGATTTTGAAATTTGTGTGATTGATGGCGTGTGTGGTGAGATTTAGTCGGTGAGGTTGCATTATTGATATTTAGCACGCAAACCGTAATGAAATTTTTAAAATCGCTACATTTACGAGACGATTTTTTACGACTAACCTTTCACGTCACATTTTTACGACTGGGATTTTTTCCCTTGCAAGACGTTGTTGAATCATCACGAACAGATTCCAGCTGCAAGAAGAAACTCCAGTTGGCGTGCCTCCAACCGACAAGGCCAATCAAATTTCTATCAAAGTGTTTAAATTTCGGTCAGAGTTTTTCCGAGCTTCAAGGTTTATAAAAACGTTATTGATGGAGAAAATTCGGTAACTTTGTCTGACCCGACCGCAATTTGCAAGTTATTGATGGAGCGATTTTCGATTAAGCGGCTATAAATCGCCCTACATCTGCATTGCCGTCTAATTTAAACAATCAAAAATGGCTTTTCCACGCTCCTAAAGCCCAGTTTTGACTTGTTGTTTACCTAAGAAAATCTATAGATTTCCGAGCGGATATATCAACAACTTACATAAACAGATCGGCGAACGGGCAATCTCAAAAATAAACACTCGAAACGCGTTTATCTAAATTGAAAGGCAAATTGATACGATTTTACACTCGACGTGCCTTTTTGACTCGATTTTTGTTCTCTCGGACGCAAAATTTAAATGTGGGAAGCACAGCTGGGCCACATTTTCACATTTTAATACTGAATCGGGCTGCTCAAGGCTTCATTTATATTCATTCAAGAGTGTCTATCTACGAAAAGTGTTTAGAATAATGATGGGAATGATTTATCGCCAAAATAATCACATAAATTAATTTTGATGCCACAAATTCATATGGAGCGGCTATGCAAAATCATTTGGTCATTTCATGGCTACGTTAAACATACAATTAGTTAATTAATCAGTGATTCTGGTACGAAATGTATAATCAAATCGATTAGTTTTTAGTTCAGGTCGCTCCGACAAATAATAACGTCACAAATCACTTTTAATTTTTTTTGAAAAATTGTGAAATTGTGAATTTTTCAAAAAAAAAGTTTAAACGTGATTTGTGGCCTTACCGTTAATCGAGGCAACTTCAAACAAACACCAGTGGATTTGACAGACAATTTTCTATCAGAATCAATGATTCTCCTTTAAATAGTTGTTGTGTATGATGCCGGAGTTATGTCTTTCTACTCTATTTTTTTTTCAATAGCATTTTTACATTTTAATACTGAAACGGGCTGCTCAAGGCTTTATTTATATTCATTCAAGAGTGTCTATCTACGAAAAGTGTTTAGAATAATGATGGGAATGATTTATCGCCAAAATAATCGCATAAATTAATTTTGATGCGACAAATTCACATGGAGCGGCTATGCTAAAAACATTTGGTCATTTCATGGCTACGTTAAACATACAATTAGTTAATTAATTAGTGATTCTGGTACAAAATGTATAATCAAATCGACTAGTTTTTAGTTCAGGTCGCTCCGATAAATAATAACGTCACAAATCACTTTTAAAATTTTTCGAAAAATTGTGAATTTTTCAAAAAAAAGTTTAAACGTGATTTGTGGCCTTACCGTTAATCG